AACCTTATTTACTAATCAAAAAAAATATTTATTTCTTCTTCTTGCAAAACTCACGCAGGATGTCACCGGATCACCTTACAAACAGTTGCGAAACGGTCTATTAAACGTGTACGCTTGTGTGCGTGCCGGAGTTTGTATGTGTGTGCAATTGTTTAATGTAAGAACCTGCGGAATGAGGCTATCTCATTGACACACTTTTTTCGCGGTCATGTTCCGCCGGCGTGACGTCGTCGTCGTAGTCGTTGGACGCCGCGATTTGTTACGACCTTACAACCCCCACCATATACATTTTGATTCAAATTCAAAATTAATGTATTAATTTGTATTGGTGTGTTTAAAAATTTGGCTAAACACGTTCTTTTTGCTTGGTAATACTATGTGATAATAAAAAAATTTCATGGTCGAATTAATATTCCATATTACGTCTTTCAAAAACTATTAAACATTAAAAAAATCTGCTGGTGTGATAAAAAAATGAAATGAATCGACTTCATTTTGCTTCTAAACACTTAGTAATTACTTAAAAATGTTGTGGACATAATAATCTTCAAGATCGGAAGTTTATATTTTACTCCAAGAAAGTTGCAAAATTTATTGGGTTATTTAAAAATAATCCCAATCATTTTCTCATTCGGGCATTTTTAAATTTCGATGATCTGGCAACACTGTCACACAGTATATGTCCAGCGGTCGTCACACAGCCTCAGCTGGCAAGATCTTCAGAAAAATGGTTATGTCCGAGCTGAGGGACAATTAAATTCTGTCAGTATAAGGTTTGTTAACGATTTCAAGGTGTCCTGTATCAACTTGAATGAAGAGCATGTTTTCAGTGATAAGGCACTTAAAGTTGCATCTTTTTGTATGTATAGATGAAGTGGTTCAAAAGATCCATTCTTGATTTAAGACCCCAATTCCATCCAAGGAGCCTGCGACAGATATGAAGTATTTGACTTCTGTTTTGAAGTTAATAGTTCTGCCTTCAATGCAGGGTGCTCTCAATTGTATCTTCCTTCTCCGAGTGAAATAGTCACTATTTCTACTTTGTTTGGTTTCATGCTGAGCCCATTGCTTCTGCACCAAGTTGTAGTATATAATAGGGCTTTCTGCATTAATTGGATTTTGATTCTATCAAGGCATCAACTACCAAGCATCATAGGAGAGGTGAAAGCACTATTTCTTTGGTTGCAATTGCTTCCTTCAATGTTCCTCTTCTTTTTGATAAGCATGTTGGTTTGAATGGAGTGGATTGATGACAAGCACCTAAGGTATTGATCAATTAATGTCTTGGGTTGATTCTATCAAGGCATCAACTACCAAGCATCATAGGAGAGGTGAAAGCACTATCTCTTTGGTTGCAATTGCTTCCTTCAATGTTCCTCTTCTTTTTGATAAGCATGTTGGTTTGAATGGAGTGGATTGATGGTATTGATTAATTAATGTCTTGGGATCGGCATTTGAATGCCTAGACGGCTAAACTCGAATGTTTCTATTTCTAGATTTAGCGTTAGTTTTAGTTTTAATTAATTTAATTGTATTTATTTTAGAAATTTTTATTTTTTTCCGATAGATTGTCGTTTATTTGATTGTATTTCCTGTTATCAAATCGGTTTTATCTAAATCTTATTCGATATACGTACGAAAATTGTTACGTAACAATCTTATCTGTGAGATAAGAGCAGATACCTTTCTTTTTGATTTTAATTCTTGTGAATCGGATTTAAAGAAAGCAAACTTTTCCAATCATCATCGCGTTTTCCGTTTATGGAGCGACGACGGGCTGTCGCATTTGGAAAGCTGCAGCTATAATCGTCTCTCGTTGTATTTCTCGACGATTTTTGCTAGCAAACGATTATGAACGGTTTTAAATACTTTCCATTTGCAGATGACATAGAGTGTTATAATTTCACCTCCACTTTCCACGACGATTTCTAAGTTTCTCTCTACCCAAATCAAACCACCAAACCAACTCAACCAACTAATATTCGATTCTTTATATTTTATTTTGTATGTTGTTGTTGTTATGGTGCACATGTTGTCGTTCTATTTTACAGTGAAACGACGAAATATTAGACGATTAGATTAGCATGAGAGGTGAGTCGATGGCTTTGCTCTTAACGGCATTCCAATTCTGTGTTGCTGCTGCTTTCTGTTCCTTTCTGTTCTTCATAACGGAGTCGAACAATCGTGTCGTGTCGCTCTGCGCACTGATTCCTCTGCATCCTCGATTACAAAACGGTTCGCAAAGAAACAACCGTAAGAAAAACGACATACATTTTATCTACCTAATAAAAATAATTCAATCAAAGAAATCAACGTTTAATAATATTATCGATTATAACCAAAAATAACACATTATCTATGCGTTTATTTTAGGTGGCGTATCAGATCAAGATAAATTTTATTAACAAAAAAATGTATATTTCAAAGAGTTATTCGAAACGTTTCTGAGACCAAGCCCAAACAATCTAAGTAGACACAGTTAACTATATAACTCGTAAATCGGCGTCGTTTGCATATTGCATTTCGCAAACCAAACGCTAAGCGTGTTAATTCGAAAATACACAATGGACCTAGTCGAGTCGACAAAAGGCTAAGACATGGTATCATTAACGTCGCTTGTTTCGACTTAAATAAGACGTCAAGATTGCGCGTGCTCAAATAATATCTGCGCATGCGTTTAAATGAGATCATTTCTCATTTAGAAGAGTAATTTCCAAACAATGTTACTCAACGTTGTAGTAGTAAACTCGATGACACATACTGCTTTTTTGCAATTCTTTTTTTAATTTTAGCCGAGTTAGCGGTAATTGTTAAGTCAGTCAAGGGCAGAAAATTTTCACAACAAACTCGTTTTCGCCGAAATTTACCTCTTCGCAACTTTAATTATCGTTATCTCTTCTATCTTTCCTGTATACCATCTCGTTTATGTACATTTTGTTATTGGATTAGTGGAAAAACGAACGCGCGCGCGCATACGTACACACACACACAGTGGCGCACGTGTTTTCGTGTCCACGCAGCAGCGCGGCGGCTCCATCTACAGCACGTGTCCCTAATTGCTATCGTCAGACCGTCCTTGCTTCATGAACTGTTCAATGAGACTGCAACCTACTTTTTTTTCTCCATTTCAACGTGCCATTAACTACTCTCGGTGGTACGCGTGCGTCCTTAGCTAAATACCACACTTTTAATTATCATCGGCTCATCTTCTCATCAAAATTCCATTTCTAGTAAATAAATTTTCAATCGATACTTGTTTATGTAATGGCGAGGTGAAAAAATGCAAACGTTTAAAAAGAAATTTTCAACTTGTTGGAAGGGACGAAAGAGAGAAGAGGAGAAATCGAGACATCGAGAAAAGAAGAAGAAGAAACGATCGAAAAGAAGATATGCAGAGGACGCGCACCGATTAAAACGACCACGCTTAGCTTCGGAAGGCATATCGGAAACCGAAAGGCGGCTGCTATACTATTCCGTGACGGTCGGGTCCTCGGTGCGTGCTGACAAGGAGAGAAAATATCGCGCCAGTACCGTATTAGCCCACAACATTTCATTCCAATCATTTTTACCATTTATACTAATTGATAACAGTCATAATTGTATTGAATTGATAAAATTGAAATCATGTGAAAAAAAAAGTTGCATCTGGGAATCATCAACAGAAGAATAGTTTCAGCCAATAGTATTATAATCTCCAAGCACTTAGTAGTGTTTTGGCAGCAGTATATAGTCTTCTGAAAGTATGAAATAGTCTTTGCCAACAATATCTAGCTTTCTCCAAGCAATTAGTAGTCTTTCCAACAATATTTAGCATTTTGGAAGCAGTAGGTACATTTTTTTTAGTTTCCAAGTAGTTATTAGCCTTTTCCACTAGTATTTAGCATTCTGGCAGCATTAGGTAGCTTTTTGAGAAGCATATCCCTTTTCCAAAAAAAATATTAAAGTCTTTGAAAGCAATAAATGGTCTTGGAAGCAATATTCCGCCTGTCCAAGTAGGTCAAAACCTTTAACAGCAGTGTTTAGCATTCTGGAAACAAAAAGTATTATTCTGAAAACAGTATCTAGTCTTTTCCAAGTAAGTTGTGGTCTTTTTCTGCAGTATTTAGCATTTCAGAAGCAATAGGTAACTTTTTGAAATAGTATTTCCTCTTTCCAAGCAGTTTTTAGGCTTTTACTAGCAGTATTTAATCTTCTGATAGCAATAATTAGCCTTTCAATTGATAATATCATTTTATTTAATTAATTTTGACGTTTCTTTAATCGTTAAGTTTGTGTTAACAATTATGATAAGTGTCCAGGTTGATATTGGAACGATGTTGTGGTGTGTCTGGAAACATATTAAAGCATATTTAAAGTTGTGTTGAGGAATATCACGGGTGATGTTGAAATTTTTGATTATATTGAAATCAAAATGATGTTGAAAGAAGTCCAGGACGATGTTAAGTCCAGGACCTGTCTGGTACCTTTTAGTTAGTTTGATTCTCAGCTTGTCCAATGTTGAAGAGATGGTAATATAGGCCATAAAACCTTTTTGGTTTTCTTTTGCGACTGAATTATCATACTTCGCCTGTCTGTAGATGAGATTCCTACAGTTATGGCAATTTTTGTTTGTCGATATTCTTTTTGGCAACAATGAAAATTTCTAAAAGTAGAAAATAAGTGTCATTTGATGACATTTGAAAAACAAAAATGTTTTTATTGATAAAGTATTGTCGTAGAGACTAAAAAGTCGGGTCTATTCCGCATAATCCAGGACAAAACAAATAAATGATAAGATAATACAAAATGAATATTTTTGTATGTAGAAAAAAATGTTTTGTTACGGTCCTGTTCAACACATCCACCCACGGTATCGGGGCGAGGAGCACTTGGCAACGTCGCCGCCATAACCGATATTGTGGCCGCATGGAATGAAGGAGAATCAGTTCGGGTCAACTTCCCCTCGGGTCTCCGCCCCACCACGCCACCACACGGCGGCCCCACGTTCCGTTGTTTCTCTCCCACAGCCGACGAGCGGCAGACAGTTGAACGTCGCGCGACGCTGACGACGGACGCGAGATCGAAACGTTGGAACGGCAGCAACAGTAACAGCAGCTCCCAACAATAATCGCGAGAGAGAATTTAGTTTCAGTGTTGTTTCTTTAATCTCCTTGTATTAATCATTTTCTTTTTTATATCATTTTTTTTGTATGTGTAAAATGTGTGTGAATTCAAAGTGTATCAATAAAAAGTAGATATAGCAAAAAGTGTATTTGGGATCTTTAATTTTAATTTTTGGACAAAGTTTCGAACTGAGGAAGAACATTTTGAACGAACTGAGGAGTTTTTTTATTAAGTCTGATTTTTTCGGGGTGATCGTTTAAAGGGAAACGGACTTCTTATGTTTTCCCCAAAACTCAAATGCTGGAGTATACATCCTATAGGTAATTTTATTTAAAATTTTAAAAAAGAAGACGGAAGGGCACACGGTGAAGTGATGATAAAGTGACTATTTAAAATAAGTGTGTGAAAAAAAATGTTGTGCAAAAAAAGTGTTGGCCAAAAAGGATTATTATGAAGTGTTAAAGACGTGTGGTGTCAAAATGGATTATTCGTGTGCCCAACCGTTTTTTTATATGTATAATGTATTAAAAAGAAGAGAAAGAATTGAATCAAAGAGATCAGAAAAGATTTTAAGGACGCTTGTTTCAGAAATTGGTCGCCCGGTGGCACCACGGCTCAGCAGCAATTGTCCGTCGTGACCACCGTCTGGGGTGTCACCACGTCGAGCCAGTCGGGGCCCCACGGCGGCGGCGTCGGCGGCGGCGGAGGAGGCTTTTCAAACACCACAAACAACGCCAATCAACTCATCAATTGCAATCCAACAACCAACCAGCAACAACAATCACAATTTAACCCAGTTAATATAAAACAACACCAACAACATACTAATTATCAAGCTGGTTATAGGCAAAGTGGGCCTGGGTGAGTAAAGAAAAAGAATTATTTCATCAAAAAAAAAAGAAAAAGAACCCTTCTTTTGATCCCCTCGTTTTTTCCATACTGGCACAAATGTTACAATACTTTTTTCTCAACGTCCCCTTCTTTTTTCCCTTTAGTTCTAACAACTGCCGTCTTCTTTTTACTCTCTCCGTCCTTCTTTCATATTTTTTTTGTCTCTCTGTATACCAAAGTGTGCTTTGTGTGGGCATTGTTAACGAACCCCCGCCCCATACGAGACTACCCCCGGTTATATGTATAAGTGCACCCCACAAAATCGACTGATTTGCCTTCAATACCCCTCTTTTGTTGTTTAACGTACATTTCGAAGCGTTATTAAAGGCAAAAGACCCCCGAGAACGTTTTTGTTTCTTCTAGTGTTGTTGTTGTTGTTGTTAGGTTCGTGAGAATGTTGGAGTTGATGAAATCTCACACTATTTTGGCTCCTCCACCAAAAAAAGCCGAAAAAATGAACAAAAGGGGTCTAATTTGGATCTCGTTTCGATGGAATTTAGTTTCGAAACGAGATGAAGAATTCAGGCCCGGCTTATATACATAAACTTTGTTATTGGTTGTTCCCGAAATAAAATTGAGGTTGAAACTTATATTTATCCCGAAGTATTGAAGGCTGGCCACCCAATATAAATATATCCGCAACGAACCGAGAGTTAATATTATTACTACATTTTTTCGATTCCAACAACTCGCTATCTATTCTATTCGTATCGTTCATATTATTATATCGTTATCTAGCACGAATGACGCAATTGATAATAGCTACACCTGTCCGGTTTTCGAAATTTTGGCTCATGATTCACACGCATTAAAAATAAAGCGTAATATTTGTTATTAGAATGCTTAACTTTTTTAGAGCGGGTAGCTATGGAGCTAATGGTGGAATGAACTCTTCGGAAGTTGGTACCTACGGGGGCAACAGCGCCCTTTCAACAGCAGCCATGGTAGCGGCGGCCACCGCAACGGCAACCGCCACAGCAAGCGTGGTCGCCCTCCAAGATAATAATCATCAATTTGGTGCTCAACAATACAACCAGCAAGTGTACCAACAACGCATGATGCCCATGAACGGGATGAATCCAATGAACTCCATGAACGGCATGAACGGAATGAGCAACATGAACCCCATGTCTCCCATGAACAATATGGCCGCGGGTATGGGAATGAACATGCACGCGGGGAACATGATGGGGAACATGGGCCCAAAAATGGGCGGTCTCCAAGGTCCGAGCAACGCGGCGATGTATCAAAGGCGGATGACGCCGTATCCTTCGCCGGGGATGCACATGACTCAAAAACGAGGCGGGCAAGGAGGATACTCGAATACTAATTGCCCAAGTATGAATCCATTAAATCCCTCATTGAATCCTTCTTTAAACCCATCGATGAATCCCTCCTTGAATCCTTCTCTAAACCCATCGATGAACCCATCGATGAATCCTTCGATGAACCCCATGAATCCAAACTTTAACACCCAATACCCCGGATACGGCGCGCGGCAACCGTCATCGTACCAAAATCAATATCCGTCGCAACAACGACTGGCGATGAACGCCAGCTTCGGACCGGAATCGATGGCTCCAAGAGGCGCGAACACCATGAGACAGAACACGCCCCCTTACAACCAGCAAGGACAGTATTATTCCGGCGGATCAATGAGCATGGGTCAATTCCATACCGGCGGGACCTCCGCTCAATACATGAACGGAACCAACCAAGTCCAATATGCATCAACGAACCAGTTCCAGCAAGATGTGAATATGAGGAATAACATGAGTTACCAGCATAGCCCCGTTCCGGGGAATCCCACCCCACCATTAACCCCCGCGAGCAGTATACCACCGTATATTAGTCCAAACCCGGATGTTAAACCGAATTTTAACGAGTTGAAACCACCTCTACCACAAGTACAAAGTAAGAAAAAAAAATTTTAATCCACAAATACATAATACATTATTTATTTCTAGAAGATGACGAGTTAAGATTAACTTTCCCAGTTCGTGATGGAATAATTTTACCTCCGTTCCGTTTAGAACATAACCTAGCCGTCAGTAACCATGTGTTCCAATTGAAACCGACCGTTCATCAAACGTTGATGTGGCGATCCGATTTAGAGCTACAATTAAAATGCTTCCACCACGAAGATCGACAGATGAACACCAATTGGCCCCAATCGGTTCAAGTTTCAGTGAACGCAACTCCCTTAGTTATCGACCGCGGTGACAAAACCTCGCACAAACCGCTCTATCTGAAAGACGTTTGTCAACCGGGAAGGAACACAATACAAATTACCGTGGCCGCATGTTGTTGTGTAAGTATTAATTAAACTTCGAGCGGGCGCCCTGTCATAAAATTTATGACAATTTTCGTTTTTTATAATATTATGCGTTCATTTGCATTATAAAATAAAAAATTTACGCCTTTTATTTTGTATAGAATTTAAGTCTAACTAGTTTCGGCCCTTGGCCATCCTCAGAGACTCTACAAATAGATTAACATCTCCCATTTTATCCATCTCACCAATAATGTGCAATAGAGAAAACACGTAATGTTGAAACTGTCAATTTTTTGACATTTAAAGCGCCTACTTTGATTGTAATTTGCTGATCTAATATGATCAACCATATGATTCGCGTGGAGGGATTCATCCTCTATCAAAATATGTAAAAAAACCATGCATCCTGTATAAAATAACAATATTGGTTGCCATAGCAACGAAACAAAAAACAATACAAACAAACAAATATCGTAAAAAAATGCGCCACAATTATTAAAGAAACTCTTATTTGAAAAAAAATTTTTTAAAACCGCAAATGGGGAAGTTATTGGCTATATTCCAGACATTTGATATACAGGGTGGGTATTAAATATTGTCACGTAGTGGTTATAATCTGTTGCCATAAAATTTACGGCACGCGCTCGCTCATGTTATAAAATCGAGTTAATTAAGTATTCATTTTTTTTTCATCGACTTATCTTAGTCTCATCTTTTTGTACTTCAATTGGTTCATCGTCCAAGTGTAAGATCCGTTTTACAAGGATTACTACGAAAAAGACTCCTACCCGCCGAACATTGTATATCAAAAATAAAACGGAATTTCAATAACACTAATGGATCGACGAGTTTAAACGAAAGGGATCGCGATGCCGTTGAACAAACAGCTCTGAAAGTTTCGTTAAAGTGCCCCATCACCTTTAAAAGGATAACATTGCCGGCGAGGGGGCACGAATGCAAGCACATACAATGTTTCGATTTGGAGTCTTATTTACAATTAAATTGCGAAAGGGGATCGTGGAGATGTCCGGTTTGCAAGTAGGAAAATTTAATTTGTTAAAATCGATTAGGTGTTTATTGATTAAAATTTTTTTGCAGCAAACCTGCGCAATTAGAAGGATTGGAAGTGGATCAATACATGTGGGGTATTTTGAATACACTAAACAGTTCGGAATGCGAAGAAGTGACCATCGATCGAGAAGCGAATTGGAAACCGACCAAAATCATGGGCACTAACATAAAAATGGAGAATGAAGAGAGCGAGTCGTGCGCTTCGAAACGGCTCAACAAGGCGATGTCACCCGGAAGTATGACCTTGCCCACCATGAACAACTGGGATATGTCACAGGCGATGTCCCCGTACATCCCGCCGGATATGAACAGCATCGCGAGCGGATCCATGATGAACGGACCACCCACGTACAATAATTCCAGAACGAATCAGTACGATTTTAGCACAACCGGAAGTGGAAACAACCCTGGCGATTACTCCGGAGGAAATGGACCTTTAACGCATTTAAGTGAAAGTGTTAATTCACTTGATCCATTAAATGCCATGGAAAAAAGTCTCAATGAACAAGTAAGTTATTTTCTTTATTACAATCGTTTCTAACTGTCTTATCTAATTTCTCAAAATTGATTGTAATTGAAAAAAACGTTTTGAGGTTATAAAAAATTGTGGTTATGTAATGTAGGGTGTTTAAAGAATAAAGTTACGGTACCTTGAGGATTAGGAGTTTCTGTCATCGCTTTGCTGGGCTGTGCAGAAATTCTAAGGTGTCATGTATGGCAGTAGCTTCTCAACATATGTAGTTGCTCCATCATCAAGGTGGCCGCACTTGCCTGTTACTGCGCAATGTATCTGCAAGATAAAGTTTATTTTAAGTATCTAATTGCTGTTATTTTGATATACAGGGTGTCACACAAAAAACGCCCAAACCTGTAGCTCTGTTATTTACATTCCGATTTTCATGACCCAGCTATCAAATGAAATGGTTTTATAAATACTATGATTCATGCTACAAATAAAATTTTTCCAGCGCCATCTTCAATTTCAAGCAATTATTAACTTTTGTTTTTCAAATTGCTGCGTATATTTTTCATCACGTCATTGGATAGAGATTGTTTTTCTGAATCCATTCATGAACAATACATCCATTTTAAATGTAATTTTAGCAGAAAGAAGACACCCTGTATATATATATATATATAGGTTATCACACAAGAATGCCGCAAGCTGTAACTCTGTCAATTACATTCCGATTTTCATGAGCGAAATATCAAATAAAAAGGTTTGATAAATACTATGATTCATACTACTAATAAACTTTTTCCACCATCTTCCGCCATCTTCAATTTCAAACGATTGTCAACTTTTGATTTTCAAATTGCTCGGTATGTTTTTCTTCACGCTATTGGATAGAGATTCTTTTTCTGAATCCATTAATGTGTAACATATTAAAATAGTTTCCTAGCATTCTCTTAAAATTACTTGTGTTATACTGTGGTGTGGCATGGAAAAAATAACAAAACAACTTATAAGTATCATTTACAACTGCTTCGGGCATTGAAATAACATTTAATGACTGTTATCAGTTTTGCGCGTTATTTTTTTCCATGGCACACTACACTGTTACAAAAGTGACTAAGACAATGTTCGGAAAATGCTTTAATTGTTTTTCTCTGCTAAAATTACAATTAATGTTAATGTATTGTAGATCAATGGGTACAGAAAAAATTCTCTATTCAATAACGTGAAGAAAAACATACCGCGAAATTTGAAAATCAAAAGTAGATAATCGCATGAAATTGAAGAGGGCATTGGAAAAAGTTTATTTGCAGCATGAATCATAGCATTCATCAAACCATTTCATTTGATACCTCGTTCATGAAAATCGGAAAGTAAATGACAGAGTTACAGCTTGCGGCGTTCTTGTGGGACAACCTGTATATACAGGGTGTCCCGTTAAGGGTACGGAGCGGCTGTATCTCAACAACGGTAAGGCCTAGAGGTTTGGGAAAAAAATCCTTATAAGCAAAGTGGGCAAGAAAAATAGCTGGAAATTAGTTTGAAGTTCGTAATTCGACCGCTAGGGGGCGTAACTGCCATAGAGAAACATAAAATTCCCGCTATCTCAGAAAGTTAGACGATGAGCTATAACTTTGACAACATCATTTAGTAGCTTGGATAATACCGCATCGCTTTTGTTTTGCAATATTTTTCATATCTGTCATAATAAGGGAGGGGGAGGCCAATGCGTTTTCAAATGTTTACATTTTAATATCTCCTGGACCATTCAACCGATTTGAATATTTTTGGTCTTGTTTGAAAGAGCATTTCATGCTCTTTTAAAAGATATTTTCAGTAAGACCGCTTGGTTTAAAACAAATAAGCTAGAGGGCGTTATCTGCAGCGGTTACATATTTTTGTGATTTTTGAAAAAAAGTTAAATGGAACGGTACTATTTACTTCACAGACCGTTAATCACCATAAAATTTGCTAAATATTAGTGAAAACCGCATCTCGATATCTCCATCCATTCTCGAATTATAAAAGAAAATGTTAAAAATTCGTATATCTTAATCGGATCAAGTTACCTTAGGAAACAAATAAGAGAGAACAAAAATTTTATTATCTAGAACCTTCCTTCACACTTTATCCAAGCTTAGAACTGCTTCAAAACTACTTTTGAGGCGTGTTGAAAAGCCAACGGATCAATGAAACATCAACAATGATAATAAAACAAAATAAACCAAAACACTTAGAATAACTTAAATTTTTGGCAAAAATAACTCACTAATGTGCGAAATGCCTTCCATAAACCTCGATGCATTTATTTAATCTAGTTTCGACGAAAAAAAAGCGCTGCTTAAGTCTCGGCCCTGGACACGTTTCTACTGGTATTTAGTGTTTTGTCATATTTTCCCTGGTTATTGGTTTTTCTTGAAAAGTCAGGTCGTTTAGTCTACCCAATAGATAAAGGGGTGAAAGCAATGTGGGTTTTGCTCGAACCAAGAATGCATATTATGCAAGTTTACATCAGCTTGTGGACAGATGCTTCATGCATCCATAGCATTTGTGATAAAAGGTTTGGATTTGCCCAAATCATATTTAAAAGTCAATGGTAATAGTTCAGTCTGTTATCATAATCGGTATCTGTTAAGGCCTGATGTAAAACAACGTGGTGGAGATATTATTCTCTTGAGAACTCTTGTGGACAATTGTTTTCGGAGTTCCCAGATTATGTGGGATCACATTGCGCACCAATATGATTTACGAATTCATAGAGATGTCTGAATGGGCTACACGTTGCCAGTTTTCCGTAATCGCTAAGTCAATCTTAAAAACACTTCTAGAGAAAAATGTCTTTCTTTGTCGTAATTGCATTGCACATTTTTGCCATGCAGTTGCATCGTATTCGAAACATTGAAAATAAATCATCATACGCTCTATCATACGCTTCTGCGTTAGTAAATGACATGTTTACAGTTACCATGGTTATGTGATTTGTTTTTCTCGATGAGGTAACTGGATCCGATTGATGGCACTCGAGTTTTTAACATTTTCTTCTATAACTCGAGAACGGGTGGCGATATCGAGATGCGGTTTTCACTAAAATTTAGCAAATTTTAAGGTGACTAAGGGTCTGTGAAGTAAATAGTATCGTTCCATTTAACTTTTCTTCAAAAATCACAAAAATATGTAATCGCTGCAGATAACGTCCTCTAGCTCATTTGTTTTAAAGCAGACGGTCTTACTGAAAATATCTTTAAAAAGAGCATAAAATGCTCTTTCAAACAACACCGAAAACATTCAAATCGGTTGAATGGTCTAGGAGATATTAAAATGTAAACATATGAAAACGCATTGGCCTCCCCCTCCCTTATTATGACAGATATGAGAAATATCGCAAAACAAAAGCGATGCGGTATTATCCAAGCTATTAAATGATGTTGTCAAAGTTATAGCTCATCGCCTAAGTTTCTGAGATAGCGGGAACTTTATGTTTCTCAATGGTAGTTACGCCCCCTAGCGGTCGAATTACGAACTTATGAATAATTTCCAGCTATTTCTCTTGGTCACTTTGCTTATAAGAATTTTTTTTCCCAAACCTCTTGGCCTTACCGTTCTAGAGATACAGCCGCTCCGTACGCTTAACGGGACATCCTGTACAAGTGTTTTTTCTCTGCTAAAATTACATTCAAAATGGATGTATTGTACATCAATGGGTTCAGAAAAAAAAACTCTATCCAATGACATGAAGAAAAATATATGGAGCAATTTGAAAAACAAAAGTTAATAATCGACTGAAATTGAAGATGGTCTTGGAAAAAATTTATTTGTAGCATGAGTCATAGTATTTATAAAACTATTTCCTTTGATACTTCGCTCATGAAAATTGGAATGTAAATGACAGAGTTACAGCTTGGGGCGTTTTTTGTGTGACACCCTGTATATCTTAGCCAGAAATAATGTCATGGACAGAAGCAGAATATAAGGCATAAAAAGTCTTTTGCAAAAAAATACAGTATGTAGACGACTAGGTACTGGCTTTTTTTGGATTTTAACCACCTAGAACTAGACGTTTAATTGGAAATGCTAGAGATGTTAATTTTGAAACATTTTTTTCAGATGCCTCATACACCTCACACTCCACATACACCCCACACACCTCACACCCCCGGGGGCGGAACACCGGGTTCTGCACACACTCCAGGTGGAGGAACGGGACCTCCAAGTGTACCACCCGCCGATAATAATCAACAAAATAACTCGTCCGGAAATAATAACGGCTCGAACAACGCAAACAACAACAGCAACAATTCAAACAATAATACGAGCAGTGGAAATTCTGATAATTCAGTACCGGAAATACCGTCGGATCTTAATTTTGATCCAGCGGCCGTGATAGATGGTGAAGGAACCGGACAAGAAGCCCTAAACGTAATTTTTTAAATAATTAATTAACTAAAATAATAATGAATTTATTTACAGTTACTCCCAGAAAGTGTTGACCCATTAGAACTATTAACATATTTGAATCAACCGGATTTAAATACACCACCGTCGAGCGGAAGTAGCAGTGGGGGACCCGGAAACACCACCAGCGACGATATTCTCGCTTTATTCGAATAGAAACCCCAAAAATTAATTTTTAATTAAAAAGAAAATTGAAATAAATTGAGGGCGGAAAAAGTTATTGATGAAAAGAGTTCCTGATCTCACGGTGTAAACGTAATTTAAAAAAACGTGAGTGACCAGTGTGATATAATTAAAAAAAAAAATGAGAAAAAATTAATTAATTAATAAAAAATGAGGTGAAAAAACTGCATTAAACGATTTTCTAAGAAATGATTTGGAAAATCTGAAAACGTGGTGAAAATTAAATGAATGAAAAAGAAGAACGGTCTAAATTTAATTAAAATTAAAAATTAAAAATTGAGGGGAAACCGCGTTGAAGAAAATCAAACTATTTTCATTGTATTATTTGTACATACACCGATGATTTAAGATGATAATGTATATTTAAATTTTTTTTTTGGATCGTTTTGTTAAACATTAAAAAATATAATTTTTAATTTTTGAGTTTTTTTTAATTAAATGCAAAATGATTAACAAAACGATTCTTATAAAAAAATTGAAAAAAAAATATTATTTATTAAGGCCAGTGTAGAGATAGTATTACTACTATTACTATTAATTAATTAATTAATTGATTAATTATTTAATTAAAAAAAAGAGGAACGTAAACTATTTAAAACAAAAAAAAAGCAGATAACTACTAGGATAGAAAAAAGAGATGAAAAGAGGAACCAAAAAAACCGTTTTTAATTAATTATTAAATTAATAATTTTTTTCTGTTAATTTTTTTTTTTTTGAAAATGTGCATGGGGCTTAATAATAAAAGTATTATTATTATTAATTAATTAATTAAATTAAATGCGCGAAACAAATCGAATAAAATGTTTTTTCATCAATTAATTAAAATTAATTTTCGTCAATCTCAGTGAACCTAATTTAATTTAAGCAAGTGACACGTATATTTAACCATTTGATTGTTTGATTTAATTAAATCAAATTGTAGTCAATTTTTTTTAATTAATTAATTAATTAAAATAAACAAAATATAATAAATCAAGTGGTTAAATTCGATTTTTATGTAACATGATTGTAAGGAATTATAAATTATCGGCATCCACACATTAATTAAAATTAATTAATTAAAAAAAAATAAATACGAACTCTATGACTGTGATAAATTTTAATGATAAGTGTCATTTTTTTATTTTAATTTTTTTTTTTTTGTGGAAAAAAGTTATTTTTTAATTAATAATTAAATTTAATTTTATTTTGTTTTGTGGCTGCTAAATTTACATCGAAAGTCGAAGAAGGAAGAAAAAATATATTTTAAATAAACACGACGTTAATCGAGTTTTATTACAACAAATATAACCTTATAATTAAACACATACATTAATATACGTGTTAACTTGCGTATTTAAAAATTAAAATTAATTATAAATGTTATTTTTAATATTCTAGTTAATAAATGATATAAATAGGGGTCCAAGTTCCTAAAGAAAACAATTTTTTTTTTTTGATTTTGGTTCACTGTCATTGACGATGACTAAAAAAAAGAAATTGGGGTTATTGTTAAACAAAAGAAACGATAGGTACCAAAGTAGATAATTTTTAATTATTTATTTGTCGATTAATAATAGTCAATGCACAATTTTACAAGATATTTAAGAAAAAAATAAAAATTGACAAAAAAAAAATGTAAAAATTTTAATTTATTTTATTTTTTAATTAATTTTTTTCACAATAATTTTAATTGTATAAGAAAAAAATATAAAATACGCCAATAATTTATATTTAAAGAAAAATAATAATAATAAAGCAGGACCAACTCGATTTTAAAACATATCATTTTGTTTTTGAGTTAAAACAAAATTTATAAAAAAAAATAAAAATAGGACCAATTTTAGTTCTAAATTTGATTAATTAATTATTGGCAATTTTATATTTGAATCTAAATACTATATTATTAAGGTTAAATGAAATTAAAAAATAATTAAAAAAAATAAAATAAATTAAGATTACTCCCGAAGTAGAGAATAATTAAAAGAACGAACCTTTTTTTGCTAAATATTTGTAAATATATTGTACATTTTATTTAAGCGAAAAATATTATGTCTGCGCATAAAAACAAAAAAAGCCTTTTTTTTCGGACACCTGTAGTTAAGTTCCCTTTTAAAATAATCTCAAAACGTTTTTAATACTTTTTTTTTAACAAAACAAGTCAGTACAAATTTATTTACTAGTGTATATTAAAAAAAAACAGCCTTAAAAAAACACCTTTGTATTTTTAATGTATTATTATTAATTAATTTTTATTAATTTGTATTATTAGTCTTGTTTTCATTTCTTTTCATTAATAATTATTATTTTTATTTAAAATTTATTTTATTATCATGTTTTTTTTTTGTAAATAATCTAAATGTGTTTTTTGTGCAATTAAAATATAAAAAAACTTTGTAGACTGATAGTTTTTAAAAGTAATATTTGATTTATTTATTTATTTTTTTATTAATAACCATTTTTCAATTTTAATAATTACTAAAAATCACCCATTAAATCGAAAAATAATAAAACAAAAAATTGGAGATTTTGGAACTCCCTGTATATATATAACCGTCAAAATGACAAATAGCGACTCATAACCTATCAATACACGCGATTTAAATTTTTAATTTCGCAATAGTCTTTTGTTTGAAATGATGAAATGTTTGAAATATACAACAATCTAGCGTTGAATAACAGTTTAAACTAGAAATAACTCTAGACGTAGAACTAGAAATATTCCTTATATCATGAGATTAACTACTTTATCGTTTTTAAATCATTATCTTAATTAAACCACCCACTAGTCTAGAATATTATTAAACATTAAACCATTTTCAAATTATTCAAAACGATATATTCGCAAATTAACGCAAACGCTGCTATTTTTAAGTTCAAATTACAAATTCGTTCTAAAATTGTGACAGTTAATGAATTAGTTGAATTAAAAAAACTTACCATCTCAAGATTTTATCGAAAAACATCGACGTGATAACTTAAAACCAGAACTAACTCTAGACGTAGAACTAGAAACATTTCTTATACTACGATATTATATTGTTGATTTAAATTACAAGTTCGTTCTAAAATTGTGACAGTTAAATTTGATAAAAATAAATTTGTTGATGGCGACATCTATGATTAAAGTGACCAACTTTAACTTAATTTTAGGAAATGAAGTATTTTTAATTAATTTATTTTGAATTAATCCCAATTTAAAGGTGAATAATAATTAAAACACAACTTCATAATCTAATTCAAAATTTAATTAGATTACTTCTTGTTTAAAAGATAAGAAGTGGACAAGAAGTAGGTTAAGGTCTCTGAGTAGAAGCCAAGAGATGTCGCCACATTACAAAAATTTCCACCCAAGAGTAATTTAAACAAATAAAATCTTTCAATCGATGAGCCAATCCGTTACATAATTAAAAAATGGAATCATCTATAAATAAGTTATCTCCAATCGGTTTGGAGTGTTTTTGTGGGTTTCGCGTCGCAGTGCTTAACTTTCATGTTGATAAAACAGAGATTATCTAACCTCACAAAATCGCAAAAATGTCAAAATTTTCGTATCATGCATAAGAACCGTTTTCACTTACTCCGTTTCAAATCACGTTAATCACACATCCCCCAAAAAAAAGGTAAAAATTAAAACTATCCAATCGTCGAAATCGAAAAACGACGGTTTCCCCTTAAAAATGTACAAAGGTAAAATCTCATTAAATATGATACCGGCGAAACCTAACCTCATCCCGGATAAAACTGCGCTTTTAACCAAATTCAACATCAACAACATTATACGAGAATGCTTCAAGTTTTTAGAAAAAGGTAAGAGTGTCAGAAATGGTTTATTATCAGTTCCGGAAACGTTAAAAAGTCAGTCAATTAATATTATGAGATCATGGACGCATCAATGTGAATGCGTTTTGGCACAACGTTTAAGAAGGGGTCAACAAATGTTCTTTTTGTATACCCGTTTATGGGAAGAACATGCCTTAAGAGATTTTATGAAAAAAATGCGTCAACAAGTTACAAAAAGGGGCACTGAATTTGTTTTTGGGGCAATGGGAATCACTGCTTACAATTGGGACCAAAATCGTATATCCGATGATGAAATTAAACAGCACACCAACGAATTGGATTATATACGTAAATTACGAGGTAAAACGTTGACGTGTCAAACATGTAGTAACAAAGCGGTTTTGCCTTGTTCTTGTCCAAGTAATAAGAAAACTTATAATTCCTACGACGATTGGACAGTTTTTATCGAAAAGAATGATATGATCGTATGGAGAAGGTTACGACCATCAGGAAGTTACGAATACAAAGTTTACGGATCGTTTAACGATGTTTGTGCGGATGATTTCTTAAATGTACAAATTGATATTGATTATCGAAAGCAATGGGATACAACAGCCGTTTCTTTGGATGTCATCGAACGCGATCCAAATCCTAAAAATAACAGCGATATTATTTATTGGGAAATGTATTGGCCGGTAAGTTAGGTTATGTTTGTTAGGTTATGTTTATAATTCAAGAATTATGTGGTTTAAAAATCGATTTTTTTTTTAATCGGCGGGAAATCAGTCAAGTAAGTCGTTATAAATTTAAAAAAAAAGCGGAAATGTGTAAAACTTACCGAAAAATCACTTTAAAGTTTCGACATGTCACTTTTCGTGACGTCATCGACCGTGCTAACCATATACAGGTGTCTCACGTAACTGGTTCTTTAGGTTCCACTATAAATTAATACAGGTTTGAAATTTTGGTAGCATGGGTTGTTTATTCGGAACATTCGATCTAAAATATTATCAAGATGGCTGCCACTTCCGGTCTACCGGAAGTAATAATAACTACGTCATTTTAAATGGAAACTTTTTTCTAATTTTTTGACAAGCTATCACACCTCAAGGTTTATATATAAGAGGTTGTCTAGGTTCGTACGCAATCATACTGCGCATTACGTCACATGTGGAAAATGATACCGCCAAGCAATTCAAATTAAACAAAGGCATGGAGCACCACATGGCCATGAGGTTGCGTACGCAATCCGTGATCGCTTACGTCACGAAACACTCCTGCTCTTGCCCCTCGCCCACAAACTAAAATCAAAGTATTGCAGCATAGGAACTTAGACAACCTTTAATATATAAACCTTGATCCTTTGATTATATATAATATGGATTGAGCCAACGAGAGAGATAGCTTGCGCAAGGTGATCGAACCGAGATAGACATAAAGGGTCTTTCACTAAGCGCTTCCTATTTTAAAAGTTAAATAAAACAAAGTGTGTGTGAGATATCATCGAAATTTTTTATTCGGTTGAAAGGCCTATCGATGCCATTATATGTGGAATAAAACATCGGGCAAATGACCGCCGCGGCTTCGCTGGGTGGCGCGCATCCGAGATGTCCAATTTTCCATGACTCTGGCGCATAAATCAGGCTGAATTTGACCGATGACCTGGATTATGTTGGCTTGGAGGGCCGCTGTTGTTTGTGGCTTATTCGCATAGACCTGCGACTTAAGAAAACCTCAAAAGAAAAAATCTAAGGAGGTCAAATCGCACGATCTCGGTGGCCAATTCACATCCCCTTCACGTGATATGACCCTTCTCTGAAATTGTTCGTGCAGAACGTCCAATGTGGCATGAGCTGTGTGGCACGTAGCGCCGTCCTGTTGAAACCACATGTTATTGATGTCAATGCAGGCCAAAAGGAGTTCGTAATCATCGCCCTATAGCGTTCGCCGTTGACGGTGATGGCTTGGCCAACGTCGTTCTGAAAGAAATATGGACCGATGACGCCGCCAGCCCAAAATCCACACCAAACAGTGACTTTTTCGGGATGCATTGAACGCTCCTGGATCTCATGAGGATTGGTATTGTCCCAAATTCGGCAATTTTGTTTATTGACGTACCCATTCATGCAGAAATGGGCCTCATCGCTGAAGATGACTTTTTTATGAAAATTAGAGTCAGTTTCCAACTGCTCCAGCGCCTATTCAGCGAACACACGTCGTTGTCTATGGTCGTTTACCTTCAACTCCTGGGTCAGTTGAATTTTGTATGGGTGCAGGCCCATGTCACGACGCAAAATTCGCCAAGTTGTGGTCTGCGAAAGGCCGAGTTGTTGTGAGCGACGCGAAATCGACTGCCTTGGATTCTCCTGCACACTCTCACGGACAGCGCTGATGTTTTCGGCAGATCTTGCGTTTCGTCGTCGTACAGGTGTTGGTTCCTTATTTACTGAACCACTAGCCTCAAATTTATTCACCACACTGCGAATAGTCCTCTCGGTAGGACGATTATGACGACCGTAAAATGGGCGAAGCGCGCGGAACGTTGCCCGAACAGAACAGTTATTTTGATAAAACAATTTTATTATTTGCACGTGTTGTTGAACGCTATATTTGTCCATAATGATTTGGCAAAACAGACTGAATAAATCACAGCCAATCTGACAGATGTAGGTTCAGTAATATGGCTGCTACCAACTGCCAAAGTTCAGAAGTCCTTAATGAAAGACCCTTTAGAAGCGTACTGCCATATAATGGGTGTACTGATAGAAGTGAGATAGATATAGAAGCGTACTGACATATAATATATCTATCTTTGTTACACTTTCACATTATCGCTTTCCATCTGCGTCTATTCACCTTGAGCAACATTTTTGTTAGTAGATATATTCAGTTAGCTCAATCCATATTATATATAATCAAAGCCTTGATCACACCTGAAGTCCTGCGCATATATTACGAAACAGCCTGTAGATAAATATTGTCATATTTTTATCGTTTTAAAATCAAAAGAAAAAACGATACGCGGAACACATTTAGATTATTACTGCTTTTGATACCTTTTGAGTACCTTAGTACTTTGTTTTGGAATTCTTTGAGTCAGACTTGCATTTGTCTTGCAGGTACAACCCCACAGTTGGATTCCGTAGTTTATCATTGGCCTATATGATGTAACGTCTGTGGGGGGTTTACCAGGTTTTGGTGTTAACATTCTGGTTTATGATTCTTGAATTTTTGTTTACTGATTTTATGACATTTAGGACCCACTTTTACCAATCTCTTGATAAACTAATCTAGGGGATAATTACCATGGTTACACAAGTGGCTAAGAACTAGATTTATCTATGGGATAAATGTATCAAGAGGTGGTAAAAGTGGGCCTAAAATCAAAAACGTAACATAAAAATAATTCCAATTAATTTTGTTGTTTACAGAAACTTTTTGCTAATAGAGACTACGTTTTTAAACGTCGTTATCTCATTGATACCGATTCGAAAATATTACTTCTCGTAAGTAAATGTACGGAACATCCAAAGCGTCCCATCACAGTTGAAAAGTATCGTGTTTCCGATTACAATTCGCACATGATTATTCGACCGCACAAAGACTTTTTTTCCCCGGGTATTGAATTTGCTTTAACTTATTATGATAATCCGGGCGTAAACATCCCAGCGGCCGTAACCGCTTGGGTAGCGTACAGAGCCATGCCTGAGTTTTTAACAAAATTACGAGTCGCCGCCAGGGATTACCAAAAATATTGTGATGAAAAACTGATTTCGAGACGATGCGATTTAAAACAAATTGTCGAAGAGGAAATTGTTGCAAAAGAAAGCTATTTGAAGTCATTAAAATCTGCTTCGAGTCAAGTCGTTCTCTTAAAAGATAAGAAAAAAATCGAAGAGAAACAAACGTTAGAAATGGGAATACAAATACAGGAGAGAATTCCTGGAGTTGATATTATGACCTCTCCAACTCCAATCGTTCAAGCGGAAGTGTCTAAACATAATTATTGGAAGTATTTACAGCCTACGTATTATTTTAGTTAGTGATTTTTTTTAGTAGCAGAGGATGATTAAATAAAAAGAGAAATGGTGTGTTTTAGTCTCGAAAAAGTTTTTAGAACAGAAAAAATAAAAGGTTGAAAAGACTGACGTTTGATGACGATTTTGTTGAGATCTGGGCGCAATAAATGTACCAAAGTCAGGCTAATGTGTTTTTTATTTTTCTCTTCATTTAGAGAGGTTAGAAATATTAATTTGTTGTTTAATGACTTTTTGAATATATTTAATGTTTTATAATGTCTTATAAATCCGTTTTTTATTTACTAATTTCCCTAAGCAATTAAACAAATTTCTAAAAATTAAATCATTTAACTCAAACAAATAACCCCATCTTTCGCTTAATTATAAAAGTTTCAACTTCTAAATTCAATCGTTAGATAGCGCACCAAAAAAATATTTCCAACAAGAAGAAATCTGTCAAATTGACAGCCGCGTTTACAGTCGAAAATGGTTAAAACGAGCAATCTCGGAGCCCCTTTAGCTCAGTTTTCGCGAACATGGCGAGGGGGTGGTCGAATCCCATCTTTTTACACTTACAATTCATCTTCGTCGCACTTACGTTATCGACAGGAACAGTTTTCGGTGCAAATGAAATCCCGTCGATCGTTTCTGTGAAAGTGATATCGGTATCGAATCCACAATTTAGGACAAACGAGTGCCTGAAAGACCTTAAATTCGAAATGAGGGGTCGAAATTTTGATTCTAACATGGAAATCGCCGTCACCAGGGACAAAAGTGCTAAGGACTCGTTTTGTAACGAAGCAACGTTAATTCATTTAAATGAACAAGTTTCTTCGGAATCGGGAATTTATACGATTACTATACCGCAAGGATTACAAGACGATCTTTACTTTTGTATGAAAAATTATAAATTAGAACAACAACAGGCGCGATGGTATCATCAAGGATATGACGTTTTTTTACTAGGGGCAATAGATCTGACTCAGTAAGTTATTTATTTCTTTTTATTTAAATTTATTAGGTGTTAAATGTTTTTTTTTTTTTATATAAACAAAATTATGAATCATTTTAAATTGTAAATTATTACTTTTTGGTGTTAATTTTTTGGGCAATCGTCCCAAAAATGTTGGCTTCTATTCATATTTCATTTTTTTAATCATCGATTTTAATATTTAACTCAAAACAATAATGAATGGAATCATCAATCAAATTTTGTAATCATCACATAACATTATCATTTATATTTCTTTTCAATTACGGGAAGATAATCGGACTTAATCCTCATCAATCTCTTCACAGATCTTGGCAAGTTTGTGGGTTCTTTTACCTGCTCCGATGTGGTATGAACCAGTACAATCTGGTTTTTCCATCTTTTCACCACAAAAGTGAACTCGCTTCTTTGTATTTTTATGTATTTATTTATTAAATAAAGATTATTCAAGATTTTGTTATCAAAAAATGACAGATTTATCTAATGTGGCTAACTTCACGGTTATTTATGTTATGAATTAATTTGAATCTTTTTCTATCAAAAAAGTAACTAACTTCACAATTATCAAGTTCTAATTTATAACCTTAAAACCAAGATTTTTTTTATTAATCGTTTTAATAAAATTTTGTTCTTAGTAAGTTAAATATGATACTTTACGATTTGATAATTTTTAGTGAACTTAACAAATCTTTATTCGAGAAAGAACAAAAGTTGTTTATTTATATTCAGCAGAAATGAAGGCTAACTTCACTACGGTTATAACGATTTGATTTAGACGAGTTTACATTTTTAAATTTAATTATATTACATTTCAAGATTTATTCTTTCTAACTATTATTATAAACATTTTAAAATAAACTGCACGGAAATCGGAATTATTTAAACGCAAAATTATAAATAACTAATTTCACGGTTGTTACATCCTCTTTTTGTAGTAAACCAATTTTAACTAAAATTAGTTATTTTGATCACTTTTTGGCTTCGTGCCAAGTAGTTTACGAAACAAGAACTATTCGTCGACTAAAGAAAGCCGGTTGATGTCTTTAAATTCGCGCCAATTGAAGATGAACCACTTTTTGCCAAATAAACCAGATAAAACCAACTTTCAAATTGAAACTAAATGTTTTAAGATTCAAAGAAAGAAATAAATAAATCAAGATTGTTCAAAAAAACAAAAGCGCACTTTAAATTTGCTTATCTTTCGAGTTTCGTTGTGCAAGACCAGTAAAAACATTTGAGATAATATTGCAAAATAGTAACAAGTTAAAGTATCAAATTTTAAACTCTGTTTTAGACGAATCAACATTAATTCAAGACAATTACTGCGATGTTGTTTCTTAATAAATGAGAAATTAATCAACATTTAACTAAACCCATCATAAAAGTTATTACCAACTTAAAACCGCCCCGAAAAAAAATAACCTGTCACTGTAATTAAGGTTATGTTAATTTCACCCTGTTTTTTTAGTATTCATCAAATAAAAGTATCCGGAATAAAAGTAGAATCATCAAATAATGGGATAGAAACCGATTCCGATGGAATACCATCGATATTTATCGAAACCCCTTCAGTTATTCGAATATTTGGTTCTGGATTCACTCAAAACACCATCGTAGCCTTCACTAACGTGAGGATGCTTCCCGGCGATGTTTGCACAGTTTTCCCATCACCTACAATATATCCGGTGAGTTATAAACGTTATTAAATTCAGTTAGAAACAATTCCCGATGGTTCAAACCAGATTTTTGATCTCCGCAGGTTGATCATGTTTCCGAAGAAAAGGATACAGCTTCAATTAATGTGATTTTACCTGAAAAAGTCGTTGGAGACACTTTATATCTTTGCGTAAAAGAATCAAACTTTTCAAACGCGACGTTTTACCATCAAGGAAGCGCCCCGTGGGTCGCACTACAAAGCCACACTTATTTAATACCGATTTGGGGTTCGATTTTGATCATCGGAACATGTTTGTGTTTCTCCGCTTTATTTTCCGGGTTAAATTTGGGCTTGATGAGTCTCGACATGACGGAATTAAAAATTTTAAAAAACACGGGAACCACAAAAGAGAGACAATACGCGAGGAAAATTCAACCGATTCGAAAACATGGTAACTTTTTATTATGTAGTATCTTGTTGGGAAATGTATTGGTGAATTCGATTTTTACGATTTTATTGGATGGATTAACGTCGGGCGTTGTTGCTGTGGTTTGTTCTACGATCGCTATTGTACTCTTTGGTGAAATTACACCTCAAGCGATTTGTTCGAGGCATGGTTTAGCTGTTGGCGCGAAAACTATTGTTGTTACGAAAGTTGTTATGGGAATAACATCACCAATTGCTTATCCGGTTTCGAAAATTTTAGATCGGCTCTTAGGGGAGGAAATTGGAAATGTTTACAATCGGGAACGATTAAAGGAATTAGTCAAAGTAAGTGTGTTTTTAATTAATTAATTTTATGATTTAGTTGTTAAAAAATGATTTGACAGGTTTTGGTTAGAAACTAACTTCACAGTTGTTTACATTTCGTTTTAAGATGTTTTTTTGACATTTTAATTATTGTTATCTTTACCACGTATTTTTTTCTTTTATCATAAAAAAACCCTTCAATAAATCCACTTTATTTTATTATTACGTAATAAACTTGATTCGATCGACATTATCTGGTTAAAAGCCGCAAGATCTTGCCCAGATACAAAAATGATCGATTAAGTACTCACGGAAATAAAACTTAAATTATAACCTTATCTGAATATATTTCGCTAAATTATTTAATAATTTAATTCTTTTTTCTTGACCTAATTGCAAAAAATATCCGACATTTTCGTTCAAGTGGGTCAACCGCCATCCGATTTTAACCGGTTTAAGGTCGTTCGGATTCTTTTTTGAGGTTAGGAGTCAAAAATCATCAATGTGGCTAATTTCACAATCGATTAATTTTTTGATAAATTTATTTCTAACATTTATCGGAACAATCTATTTTATGAATATATTATTAAAATAAATATTTTTTTTTTAATTAAAACGTTATATTTATTAATTAAAAAAAAAATTATTTAAATTAAATTGATATTTTTCTATTAACCTCAAATGTCAAACATGTCAAATGTCAAAATGAATTTTAATAATTTCATTTTAATTTATAGGTAACAACTGGTGAAAATGATTTAGATAGGGATGAAGTAAATATAATAAGTGGAGCGTTAGAATTAAGAAAAAAAACTGTAGCCGAAGCGATGACAAGAATGGAAGATGCATTTATGTTAGATTACGAAGCGATCCTCGATTTTGAAACAGTTTCCGAAATAATGAAATCGGGTTATTCAAGAATTCCCGTTTATGAAGGAGATCGGAAAAAAATCGTCACCACACTTTACATAAAAGATCTCGCGTTCGTCGATCCGGATGATAACACCCCATTAAAAACTTTGTGTCAATTCTATCAGAATCCGTGCAATTTCGTTTTCGAAGATGTCACATTGGACGTTATGTTCAAAGAGTTCAAAGAAGGAAATAAGGGGCACATGGCGTTTGTGCATCGCGTTAACAATGAAGGTGATGGTGATCCGTTTTATGAAACAATTGGGTTAATCACCTTAGAAGATGTTATTGAGGAATTAATTCAAGCTGAAATTATGGATGAAACTGATACAGTTAGTAAGTTATTTTAGATCAAATAAAAATCGCCTTTGTTATTTAATGTTTTGATTTTAGCCGATAATCGTTCAAAAAGAAAACGGACCTCGAATAGAACCAAACAAGATTTTACCGTTTTCGCTGATCGCAAAGGTGAAACTAATCGTATAAGGATTAGTCCGCAATTAACGTTAGCTACATATCAATATTTAAGCACTTGTAAGTTAATTCTTTTATTATTAATGCAAATTAAAATTAAATTTTTTAGCTGTTGATTTATTTAAACCAAGCAATATCTCAGAGACGATTCTAAGAAGATTTCTTAAACAAGACATTTACAACCATATTAAAAAGAATAAAGATTGGCGTAACGACGATAATGCGGTGATTTATCAACAAGGTTGCGCTGTTGATTACTTTGTATTAATCCTTGAAGGTCGAGTTGAAGTTACAGTTGGTGCAGAACAATTAGTTTTTGAAAGCGGGGCGTTTACTTACTTTGGAACACAAGCTTTAGCACAAAACATTGGAATATGTAAGTTAAAAAAAAAAATAATTAAAAAAATTCTAACTTATTTTATGTTCTTTTTAAATTAGTGGATCCTTCACCATCAACGATGGGTAGCTTGCAATCATTAAATATGGACACGATGCTCCGTTACAGTTTCCAACCCGATTACACCGTTAGAGCAAGTTCCGATTTACTTTACATGAAAGTAAAGCGAAGCCTTTATTTGGCAGCGAAAAAAGCTTCGTTAATGGAAAAATCAGCCCGCGAAAAAGACGGTGATAATTACGATGAGGAAGTCGAAAAGGTAAGTAATTTTTTAAAAATAAAAATCGAAAAAAGGACGCAAAATTTGAATGGGGTAAAAATTAGTACTTACGTATTTCCAGTATGTAACACACTCCAAAGACGATTCGATTCATATAAAAGCACGAGATTTATTAATGGGTGGTTCCGATAACGAGAAGATTTAAGATCTTTTTATCACATAACCTCACATTTTTATTTAATTCGCGTTTTAAAAAGGTAACTCGTTGCACTCTTAAAATGATTGAATTAAATGTTGAAATTGTAAATAACACGAAAAAGCTTTGTGTAAAAAGCTTTAAATACGAAAAAGTTATTTTTTTTTAGTCCACATAACCTCACTTTTTTTTTTGTTATAATAAACGAATTTAATCGATAAAAAAGTGAGTTTATTCTATGTTAATGCACTATTTGATTGTTAAATTGTATATAACACCTTTTTTATATGGGAAATACTGTTTTTTTAAGTAATTAAAAAAAATTTAAACTTTGTTTATATTGTTATCAAAGATAACCAACTTCACTGTTGTTTTTGTTGACATTGTTGGTTTTATCAGTTTAATTGTGGATGATTTTTAAATTTATTAAACAAATTACTTTATTACATAAAGTAACGATTTAAAAAATTAATAGAAATTCAAGTTTTGTATAAATAATTAATTTAAAAAAATTAAGTGATATTAATTTTTTTTTAATTTTTAAGTTGGTAATTCTATTTTTTTTTAAATGTCAAAAAAATAACTTAACCTCATTTTTCTTTCTTTTTTTTAGTTATTATATTCGTTAGGAGAAGAAGATTCTTTGGGTCGTCAATCACCCGAGTTGAAAGCGAATCAAAATATAACGCACAGCGAACCGTTAAGTACAACAAATTCAAATGTAAAATTGCCAGATAATGCGATGAATATTAACCAGTTGAGTGCTAATCGCAAAAGTTTGAATAACGGTGGAGCTGCTACGAGTCAAAAATTACTTCATCCTCAAAACGCTACGATAACCGATGATTTAACGTCGTCGAAGGAGGAAGAAATAGCATTGTTACCAAAAAATAACTCATAACAACAAAGTAACGGTCTTAAAAAGGCCGATAGAGTACTTAACTTATTTCAACGATTAATTTTTTTTTGAAAATACAAGTATTAAGTTAGTGTTTTAAAATAAAAATGTTATTGCAAAAAGGGGTTTAGGCATTTATTTTTTATATATTTTTTTTTGGCTTTTGTATTTAGCAATAATCAAGATTGATAAATTATTGACAAATATAACTTTTATGTACTTTATTCTAGTACTTATATTAATTAATGAAGAAACAAATAATTTAATGTTAATTAATTAGATTTAGGTGTTGTATAAATGTTAAATACCAAAAAATAGATTAAAAAATAAAAAAAAAAAAATATTAACAAGTTGTTGAGGTTAGAATGTTTTTACATGTACTTTACAAAGAAATATTGTACTTAAAATTTATTTTCCAATATATTGGTGCTTTTATTATTATTTTCTTACTTTTTTTTATTGTTTTGTTTTTAGTTAAAAGTTGTTTGTTAGAAATAAAGTTGTACTTCCATTAATAAAGCTGTCTAAAAATTTAAAAATTTTATTAAAATCATTTCTTGTGATTACTTAAAGCATTTTCTTCAGTATTAACATTGTTTTTGCTATCCAGCATTAACATAATACTATCACTGATATCTTCCAAAGTATCCAAAACGCTTTGTAACATTTCCGATTCTTTTAAATCATAATTTGCGGTTTCTTTTTTAACATTAAAATTTTTGGTGTTAATGCACGAATTTAATTTTGCTTTATAATATTTTTGAAGGGGTTTTGGGAAAGTTTTCTTCGATTTGTTTGGATACGGCTTTTGAAAATGCATTTTTGATTTAATTAATAAAATTTTGTGCGGAAAATTTTCATGATTTTGACGTTTCTTACTTTGTCAATTTTGTTGCAAATAATTGATTTTATGTTAATTTTTAACGTTGAATTTCGTTTTAATCCAATTATTATGCAAAACTCAATTTGTATTCTATTAAAATCGCCCAATTTGTATAATGAAGTGTGATGGGGGTTTTCCATAGAGTATTCCCAGGTGATGAATACTCAGAGAAGGGTTTTGTGGTTGTAGTGGGGGTGAAAAGAGTTATTGGGGGCACCAGTCAGTCATGGAATGTATTCTCTTGTACTCATGAGGTAAAATTATTGATTATTTACTGTAAAAAAACAATCAATAGATGCGCGTAAAGAAAGTAGAAAGAGTTTTAACATTTTAACACGGTTTTTTTCGGGTGATGTTAAATTTGAAATGGGTAGCGCCATTTTTATATTAGGACTTTTCGGTTTCTATCAATTCAATTTCGGTAAGATTAATAACTTTTTTAAAATCTTTTATAACATTTTTTTTTAAATTGAAGTGAACTCAATTGATTGTTTTAAATGTATATCAATAAATAACGATTATCAACCATGCGAGGACCCTTTTCACAATAATTACACGACGGATATTTTGGAATCTCCGTGCATGGGCGGGCGAAAGGGAAGAGATGGTTTATTTCCGGCTACTTTCTGTATTAAAATAACCGGAACTTTCGCCGATAACAAAACAACTTTAACTCTAAGAGGATGCGCCTTGGATAGTGGAACTTTAACAACAGACACTGAAATTGTTCGAATGTCTCATTGTGGAGGATTTTATTATGGCGAAAGGTAATTTTAAGTTGGCTCTCTGAAATGTGACATTTAATAACTGTCATATTCAACCTAACCTCACTTTTAAGAATTTTTAATTAATTTTTTATTTTTAGTTATGTTCGTGGTTGTGTTCAAAGCTGTAATGATGCGGATGCTTGTAATTTAAGCTCTAAATTCCAACTTAATTTATTTATTTTAAACATCTCAACTCTTTATACACTTTGCTTTTTTATGTAATACAAAAATAAATAAAAAAATGCCTTTATGAATTAACAAATTTGGGTTTTGTTTCTTGATCGGTTACGCTGCGAATATAAATGGAATTTTCGGGGATTACAGCTGGTGGTTCATCTTCTGTTAGGAAATAGGAACACCCCATTGCTAAAATAGAACCTACAAAAAGAATATTTTAGTCATTTAACAAAGAAAAATTGTATTAATTATTATACCGTTACTGCTAAAACTTAATGAAGTAATAGAAGTATGATATTGATGAAATTGACATAATCTCTTCTTATTAAAACCATCCCAAATATTCACAAAGCCATCTGATCCACCAGTTGCGAAAGTATTATGAGTGGGATGAAAACTTATAACATTAACAGGATAAATTTTTTCAACACCATCCTTATCCTTAATTCGATGACACTTAAAAGCGTATTTTTTCTTTTGTATTTCTGGATTGGTATCTAAATATTCGACGGCGACTCGGCCTTCGATACTACTCAAAACGTAACCTTGCTTATTTGGAAAACATTTAATAGCTCTCGTTTGATATTTTAAACTAGATTCACGTTTTTGTACAGTATAAGACATATTACGGATATCCCATACTAAGATTTTTCTACCCGCCGTTCCAACTAACAATTTTTCATCACACACACTCATTGTATAAACCTTATCGCCTTGATTATAACTACCTGCACTAACATGTGCTCTAGGATCCCATAACTTTATGTAATGATCCCAAGAACCTGATAAAATACCATTAACTTCTGAACAATACTCAACACATCGAATCGCTTGGTTATGTGAACCAACGGTTACTTCTAAAATTTAAAATTTTTTGATTTTAATCGTGTTGATTTCATTAAATCTTTTTTACCTGTTGTTGTATTAAAATCGAACATTTTTAGGGTATTATCCAAACCTCCACTATAAGAATGAACAGCATCCTATTAATTCAAAAGAATTTATATTAAAAATAAAGTATTATTAATTAAATTAACTCACCGTAAAACAGCAATCTAAAACGGGGCCGTTATGTTGATATTTATGTCTTAAAGTATTCGTTTGGACATCGTATAACCTCACTCCCGAATCCCACGAACTTACCAACAAAAATTGATTGGTGTTCGGGCCGAATTTCACCGAAGATATCGTATCATCAGGGGGGCTTTTTAATTTATACTCATTTTGAGAATTTACAGACATCGTTCTTTGAATAAGAAAAAAATTGCGTTTAGGTTATGTTTACTATCTGTGGGGGGAAGTTTTGGGATGAAGTTAGCTGCATTTCATCAATTTACTGATTTTAATTTGTATTTGAAATAAATAAATAATCAAAAGATTGTTAATTTAAATAGATTCGATTCGTAATTTTTCGCTTTGAATAAAAAGTAATTATTCTTTGCTTTTAAACTTAAAGAAATATTTTAAATTTGTAACTAAAATGACATATGTCATTATTTAGACTTTCAAAGTGACAGCGTTTTGAACTTATAGGTTAGGTTATGAATCCAAATGTTGGTGGACTCCTGATCTACATTCACTTGGAGGCAAATATTCAGAAAAAACGTAATGAGCTAAAACCTTTGATTATATATAATATGGATTGAGCTAACTGAATATATCTACTAACAAAAATGTGGTTCAAGGTGAATAGACGCAGATGGAAAGCGATAATGTGAAAGTGTAACAAAGATAGACATAAAACGGTACTAAACAGACGGGCGCATGCGCACAAAAGTGTCAAACCTCTTCCATTTGACGTTTATCGTTTTGTTGTGTCACAGCCAGTCACACCGTTATGTTTAAAAATGTATTGTTTCGTGTGCAAAGTTCGCGATAATACAGTTTCACATCACCTGTAAGTATTATAAATGTTACTTCTAATTGATAGTTTTTTATCTTATAAGTTAACGCACGCCCATTATATGTCAGTACGCTTTTATGTCTATCTCGGTTCGATCACCTTGCGCAAGCTATCTCTCTCGTTGGCTCAATCCATATTATATATAATCAAAGGCAAAAACTAACATTTTCGCGTAATCTAAGTGTCAAAAAAGATGCGAATTCAAAAATTCCTGGAAGCCGTATTTATTGAAATTAATGAATGAGACTTATTCTAAATTAAAGCTCAAAGCTTTCTCTTTAATATGATGTATAATAATTGTTGGGTTGGATTGGAAAAATATTGAGAAAAAAAATGTTGAAACAAAACTTACATTTTCGTATAACCTAAAAGTGTCAAAAAAGATGCTAATTTAAAAATTCCTAGAAGCCCTAGAATTCCTGGAAGTCGTATTTATTAAAATTAAGGAATGAGATTTATTTTAAATTAAAGCTCAATGTTTTCTTTTGAAAATGATCTGATTTAATGATCTGATTTATCAAAGAGATACCTTTTTGAACAACAAAATTTTTTATACAGATTCTTTCTTGTATAGTAGAAAGTTTAAAGTCGGGACACAAAGGGTTAAGTTTCAAGCACAATTCTAAATTTTAATTTGTTAATTGACTTCTAACTTTAGAGTAGATTAGATTTGAGTCAACACTCCATATGCCAACTTCTTCACCTCAATGTAGCATTCTGGAAGACTATTTCATGCACCGAATATGATGTCCACTTGTATTGCGCGCTTTTCTCTGGTTGAATTCTCGAGTTTCTTCTTCAGTTCTTCTCTTTTTTTACCAGATGCTCTACCAGCCGCAAGTTTGCATCAAAAGAGCAGCAGGTTGCCGACCGCAGATCTAGGTTATGATGTGTCAAATGAAATATGATATTTTGACAATTATTTTTTGTGATGTATCTGTCAAAAATTTAGATTAAATGGAAATATATGGATGAATCAAAAAAAGATATAAAAGATATAATTAGTACGTTAACGCATCCAGTGAGTATAACGGATGGAAATCGCAAAATGAGTATGACTAGTAATAAAAAGGAATCTAAAAATGAAAAAAAATCAACTTTTTTTACAATATTTAATCGTTCAGATAAAAATGATATGTTATATAAAAATTTTAAGCTGGAAGAAATTAGAGATTCAAGCACACAAACAAGTAAAACGATAATTGAATTGGCACGATTTGAAACGAAGAATATATCTCCAGATAGTTTATCGAGTCAAACTTATCAAGATGATGATGATGACGATGATAATGATTTAGATGATGAAACATACGAAACTGAATACACAAACGATGAATTTAAAAAATTTAATGCAATCAATTATCGAGTCGAACCGTTAGAATTAAACTTAACAGAAACAGAAACGAGTAAAAACCCATCTTTAATAGAAACTTTTTTAAGAAAACCCAAAAACAATTCGAAATATACACCAAAACAATTTATAAAAAGCCATTCATTCGTTGAAAATTCAAAATTTATGATTAAAAATAGTGAACGATCAACAACTATTAACAGTGATGGAGATAAAAGTTTCATGATGCCAACATTATCGAGTCAAAATAAAAATTTATTACCGGAAGTGAAAAAAACAAGTAATTTATTATCACCGATACGCAGAGGACGTTCAAGTAGTCCCATAAAACCGAAAGGAAAAATTAAAATACCCTACATCGATCAAAGCGAATCAGATATTTCTTGTAGAAACGAACGAAATAATTTAAATGCAAGAGTACCTTTAATTAAGCGACAAAATAATAACAAAACAATAGATACCCCAAATCCACCAAAAACGTTTAGTAAGGATATGTTAAGGATTGATGAAATGAGTTTAATTTTAGTCCCGACTGAAAATAATTCAATGATTTGTTTTGATGATACAAATACATCATTCGAAACAACCATAAACACGTCAATTACAAAGTTACAAGACACCGAATGGTAATTAATTATGTTATTTAATTAATATTTTTAAAATTTCTAATATTTAAGGAACATCGCTCTTAGAGGTCTCGCTGAAATAACGGAATTATGTAAAGCGACTGATTCATCGACAATGATGCAATATATGACTTCAATAAATCAAAGATTATTACAATTATTGAAGAATCCGCGCTCGCATGTTTGTAGAACGGCTTGTCAAGCTGCTGGACATTTATTTGAATCGATGAAAGATACTCGTGGTCCTGAATTTAATGATATTGTTGATTTGTTATTATCAAAAACTGCTGATGCTAATAAATTTATAAGGAAAGATGCGAACTTGGCATTGGATTGTATGGTAACTCATATTTCAACGTGTCAAGCAATTAAAGCTTTATTATTAAAAGGCCCCACTCATAAAAATAATTTGGTTCGTTCTGCTACCGTTAGATTATTAATTTGTGCGATTGTTATCGCTGGTCCCGGTGTTATTTTAAATCCGAGTGGTAATGAAGCGACTAGAAAAAGGATATTTTCTAATCTAGTTAAGTTTTTAGAAGATAAAAATCCAGATACAAGGTATTTTTTGAAATATATACTTAATTGGTACTTTATTTATTTTTGTGTGTTTAGAAAATACGGGGAGAGATTATATAAAGTGTTGAGTAAGGAAAAATATTTTGATATGTATTTGAAAAAATACATAGAACGTGATGATTTATCGAAAATGAAAAAAATCTTAAAAGCTATATCTAAAAGTCACTAAATTAACTAGGATTATTTATACAAGAATTATATTATTTATGTGTTTATTTTAGTAATAAATTTAATAATAAATTATTTTTTTTTTATTCTTTAATTTGATAACATAACCTCAAACGACAAGAAAATTTATTAAATTAATTTTATGGTTGATCTAAATATTAGTAAACATTTTCCTCGAAATTTAAGTAATTTTAAGTGTTCAAACTATTTAAAACATTTCAAACAACCTCAAACACAATGGAATGACAGAGTTTTAAATTTCCCGCTTGACTTTCGAGCCAAAATGGCGGCAAACCGCGGTACTTTGTAAATCTAGGGAACTGTAATTAAAGTAATTTCTTAGTGCCATCTAGCGGCGAATAGATGGAACTAATAAAGAAATTATAGTAACCTACAATTCTAGTTGTAAATGCTTTGATTTTATTTATTATTAATTATTATATTATTTTTGTAATCAAATTGTGAGATTAAAGGTAATATCATGAAATATTAAAAACTAAATTAAAAAAATTGAGGAATTAATTAATATTTTAATTTAAATAATCAACTTTATTTAGATACACAGGGGTTTACATCTAACCTATAAAATCTATACATACTTCTAATTAAATTAGCAATAAACAAACAAAAATAGGATTATTCAGTTTGAAAAGTGTACAAAATATATTGAAGACAAATTTTCGGAATGACTATTGCACTTACTTTTAAGTAATTTTCACTTTTATTTACGTATTGATTGATTGACTGTATTTTGGCACCAAGTTGTATTTTCTTTTTAATTTTTATAAAATATAAATTACAATTAATAACTAAATTAAATTAGTCTACGTTTTTTTTTTGATATGTACTTAGAATAACCAAAAAAACTTTATATTGGGCAAAGACAATAATTATATTATTTACATATTTAGCACCCTTGCGTACATACATATAAAAATTAAATAAAAAAAAATAAGAAGAGGTAGTTTGGTTAGGAAAACTCATTTACTTTATTATTTCTATTGATTTTTTATGTTTGATGATAATGGAAAAGGTGAAAAAGCTAATAATTATTAACAATAAACTAAAGAACATTTTTTGATTAATTTTTTAAAAATAAAATATTTACAACTTCTTAATTTTTAGGTTATTCTTAACATTGATCAACATAACCTAAAAAAAGGTTAAAAAGGCTCCTTTTTAAATACAACATCAATGTTAACAACTAATAATATCATTCCATTTTCATTATTTTCTCTCCCCCGAAAATTTAACACAACAAAAAGATTTTTTTGTTATAATTTACAAAATTAGTCCAAATATAAAAAATTACACAAAAAAAAATTATTATGGCACAAAAAATAACCTTACCAAGTTAATTTGTACTTTTTTTTACATTTTAGTTTGGGAGTTAAAAAATACTGAAAGACGGAGTCTATTTTTTGTATTTCAGAGTACTTCGTTAACATAGTTTTTTTTTATTTTTAACTGTTGTCTCTTAGTGCCAGGTACTTGGGGGCTTTTTTCAGGTACACTGTACACTCACATCTCACTTTTTCGTGTTATTGTTTCATAATTTTTTATAAAATCGTTCACATACTACTTTCTTTTCCCGTTCCCAATAACGCCTCGTTTTCTATCCTCAACGATAAAGTACAATTTTGATATTTACTTTGCAACATTACCCTTTCCATTACGCAAGAAGCTGATAATCTTGCCTCAGCGTCATGATCCCAACATTCCTCCATCGTATCACATAATGCTGATAAACCCTAAAATAAATTTTTAGGTTATAATTATTTATTTAATTGTAAATATGACAGTTATTAATGTCAAAAATTTCATTGGTACCAACATTTTTTTTTTAATTCCCCTTATTTATAATTTTATCTTAAATATAATTGTATTAATAAGTTATAAAAACGTAATTGTGTAAAATTCGTAATAAAATAATTAACTAAAATTAAATAATTTTAATTAAATATTAAATATCGAACTGATGGGAAATTAAAAAAATAAAATGATTTGGTAGCACTGCAAATCAACTCAAATGTCAAACGTTTAGGTTATTCCAATTTAATTTTAGTTTTAATTGTAATCAACCTAAGTCAAAAACCTAAGAAACAACCGTATTTCTCCCGAATATATGCGCTTTAACCAAATGTGCTGCAAAATACATGTAAAAAAATGTATATGGTTCGATGACGTCACAAAAAGTGACGTCACGTCAAAACTTTAAAGTGATTTTTCGGAGTTTTACACTTTTTCTTTATTTGTAACGGCTTACTTGAGTGATTTCTCATCGATTTAAAAAAAAAAAATTGTCAATTTTCTTACATTATGATTTCTCCAAGTATTCTTAATAACTATGACAGTTATTAATGTCAAAAATTTCATTGGTACCAACTTTTTTTTTAATTCCCCTTATTTATAATTTTATCTTAAATATAATTGTATTAATAAGTTATAAAAACGTAATTGTGTAAAATTCGTAATAAAATAATTAACTAAAATTAAATAATTTTAATTAAATATTAAATATCGAACTGATGGGAAATTAAAAAAATAAAATGATTTGGTAGCACTGCAAATCAACTCAAATGTCAAACGTTTAGGTTATTCCAATTTAATTTTAGTTTTAATTGTATTCAACCTAAGTCAAAAACCTAAGAAACAACCGTATTTCTCCCGAATATATGCGCTTTAACCAAATGTGCTGCAAAAATACATGTAAAAAAATGTATATGGTTAGCATGGTCGATGACGTCACAAAAAGTGACGTAACGTCAAAACTTTAAAGTGATTTTTCGGAGTTTTACACTTTTTCTTTATTTGTAACGGCTTACTTGAGTGATTTCTCATCGATTTAAAAAAAAAATTGTCAATTTTCTTACATTATGATTTCTCCAAGTATTCTCAATAACTATGACAGTTATTAATGTCAAAAATTTCATTGGTACCAACTTTTTTTTTAATTCCCCTTATTTATCATTTTATCTTAAATATAATTGTATTAATAAGTTATAAAAACGTAATTGTGTAAAATTCGTAATAAAATAATTAACTAAAATTAAATAATTTTAATTAAATATTAAATATCGAACTGATGGGAAATTAAAAAAATAAAATGATTTGGTAGCACTGCAAATCAACTCAAATGTCAAACGTTTAGGTTATTCCAATTTAATTTTAGTTTTAATTGTATTCAACCTAAGTCAAAAACCTAAGAAACAACCGTATTTCTCCCGAATATATGCGCTTTAACCAAATGTGCTGCAAAAATACATGTAAAAAAATGTATATGGTTCGATGACGTCACAAAAAGTGACGTCACGTCAAAACTTTAAAGTGATTTTTCGGAGTTTTACACTTTTTCTTTATTTGTAACGGCTTACTTGAGTGATTTCTCATCGATTTAAAAAAAAACTCTCTTACATTATGATTTCTCCAAGTATTCTTAATAACAGGTCGAACTTTTCTTTGAACAACGCTTTCTTGCATGTCCTCCAACGTAGGATGTTGCCCAACTTCCTCTTCAAATGGTAATCGATATTCAGCTACGGGGGCATCTTGAGCAGTGCACCTAGATACTAATTCCCATAAAACCAAACCGCATGCATACATATCAATTCTTAAAAACGCATCCGGTGTGAAACTTATAGCCCCTTCGAGCACTTCCGGTGCCATATAACGTCGGGTTCCCACTTGACCGTGAGTATCCCCACACGATTTTCCCGATTCAAAAACAAGAGCCAAACCAAAGTCCGCTATACAAGCGGTCAGATCGTTTTTGAGAAGAACATTTTTGCTTTTAAAGTCGCGATGAGCTACCGATGGCTTTCCTTTATGGGGTCCTTTGGAGGGAAGTTCTTCGTGTAAATGCATTAAACCTCTTGCCATTGTTTCAACGACACGACAAAGTTCTGTCCATGTTAGTGTATGCGCTTTTAAGAAATCACAAAGGGAGCCTCTTTCGTGATAAGCAGTTATTAACCAAAACTCGACTTGCATATGATCAGAACCCCTTTTTTCAGCTGCAATAAAGTGTAAAATGTTTGAATGATCCATTTGGGCAAGTTTAAAAATTTCCTGTTCTGTAGACCATGACTGTTTATCCTAAAAAAAAAATAATAATAATAAATTAATTAAAATAAGTCAAATAATTTTTACCTGAGCAGGAAATATCTTAACAGCAACTTCGTCCGATTTATTTTTACCTTTCCAAACGGCGCCAAATCGACCCCTCGCTTTGATTTCAACCAATTGCACGGGTAAAAGACCTTGATAACTTGTATCGGAAGGAAATATGCCAGGATCTTCACTCGGAACCTAACCACAATTTTTTTAAATTTAATAATTAAACAAAAAAAAGGATTTTAAAAATATTTTACTTACTCTCCACTAGAAAGCAACAAAAGAAATAATTTTTTACTCAAACTATTTTAATGCTATAATTTAAAAGATTTATATTTAACTTACCTCGTTAAATGAACGGCGATTACGTTTATAATAATAAACATAAAAGGTTGTACCACAAATAATGAATAATAAAACGGTAGTAATCACAATTGCTATTAAAATTATGTTCGAAGGTTCCGGTTTTTGTGTTTCGAGTACTAAAAATAAAAAAATTTACCCTTTAGTTATTAAAGATAAATAACTTATAAAAACCTAACCTGCGACTGGTGTTGTTGTTGTTGGAGAAGGCTCCCAAAAGAACTCCTTATTACAATAATCCCCTTCACAACAACAATACAACATTTTTGAATGTTCTTTTGAAACACATCTTTCCTGATCGAAACATTGCTCATTATTTAAAAAACATCCTTTCATATGTACATTCGGAGTATTATTAGCATTCATTTCCCATAACACATAACAGTGATTTCTTTTCCCATCTTCTGGAGCGGTACAATTTTCAGTTGTGGAGCAATTTTCCACACATTCTTTTTGGTATTCTTCACATTGGGTTGTGGTTAGTGGTTGGACGTAATTCGTGGCTTTAGGGTTACTAAGGGACCATGATATATCTAAAAGAAACGTTTTAGAATTAATAGAAAAGTCTAAAAGGGGTTTCTAAGGAATTTATACTTAAAATTAAGATGAAAACTATCGAAACGGACATGTTTATAGATGCTGTGGTAGGTCAGTTACATTTAATGGAGCGAAGTTGGTCGTTTTAAATTGTCAACTTTAAAATGTTAAAATGCACTAGTTTTTATAAACTTTTTTTAGTGCTAAATCGGTAATTTATTAATGAATAGTGTTTTCCCTTGTTCATTGTTCAAAATTCAAAATTAATTGTTTACAAATTGTTCCTTTTTAATTTAGTTTGAAACGATTTTATGACCACCTTGTTTTTGTTAACTAACTTAACACACCACACTTAGTTTAACAACCCAAAAATTTATAAAAGTAGATTGTGCACGTGTTAAAATCACCCTCTTATAAAAAAAATGTTTAATTAATACTTCAATTAGATGCAAAATAATCAGAATTATTCTATAAAAACACCTATATCACTGATATAATTCTTTATCGACAAAATGGCGTCGAACGAAAACATCTTAAAACCATGCGAAATTAGCTACAAGTTACTTTGTTTACACTTATTAATATTAAGAATTAAAATGATTAAAAAAAAACTTCTTTTATTTGCTAAAAGAAGCAAGTAGCTTTTACTTTAGTAATAAAAGAAGTTTTTTCTTTTTTTAATTCATTTTAATTCAAAATGGATAAATGTGTAAATTTCTTCATCTCAATATTGGGAAATGATTCATAGATGGCGCCAAATATTGTAAAAAAAAATTTATTTATTATAAATAAATTTATTTAAACAAAATAAAATCAATTCTTAACTTTAAATCTTTTTATTTAAATTATTACAAAACAAAATTATACAAATTTTAAACTTTAAAATTAATTGTAGGAATATCATCGTCATCGTCGTTTTTAATGTTCTCTACCAAACCGTACTCGTTAGCATTCGCCAAAATATCGCAAATTAACGGTGATTCAACACCTAAAATGTACTCACAGTATTTAGGTTCTAATAAATATAAAGAAACGGCGTTTGAACTAGATGCATTCTCTAAACATTTTAATCGAACTTCTGTTTGTCTTGGTTTTCCGGTTTTATCACAAACATTTCCGCCGGAATAAAAGTGAGAGAGTTGTGTACGAACCGCTACAGGCTTAGGTTTTTTATTGGGATGGGCATTGATCCACTCTATATGCTTCTTTTTATCAAAAAATCCTAAACTGATTGAAGTTTTTGTTTTATCCCTCTCCATATGATACTGTTCAACAGATTTTCCATAACAAAATTCATATTTCCACCAACCGGTTCCGCCGTGCAAACAATTTTTCCCTGATAAAAAATTTTCTACAGGTGATGTATCAATTGGGGTGGTTTCTTTAACAGTTTCCTCCTTATCTTTTAGATCTAATGGATAAATTTCAACTCTAATCGGTTCTACATCAGCTTTTCTTCTTAATTTATTACTTTCATGTTTCATTTTAATTAAGTTATATGGTTTTTTTGGACTTCCATCCAATGGTACACAATTGATTTGATTTTCTTCAGTTTCTTGTGGTTTATATTTTGGATGCAAGCATAAAAGTGGACTTAAAACGACTATTTCATATTGACATGTTGAAGTTTCTTTTAATGAATAAATTTCATGTTTTCCATGAACATAACAAACGTACATCACTTTAGTTTCTCTTGGTTTATTATTATTTAATTCGCATAATGTACCATTTTCCATGTTAACAGCATAGTAAGGTAAATTGATTCCATCCACTTTTTTAGTTGGAGGTGAAATATTTTTTTCTTCATCCGATAAATCGTTCCAGCGATCTAATAATATTTGATAATGATTTTTATCCCATTTTCCCAAAACATATTCTTGCAGTTTAACTTTTTTTCCTTCCCTATCCTCGTGATATTGTCGTATAAAATTTCCATGACACAACTCGTAAGTCCAATAAGATTCCAATCGATACAAACATGTGTTTTGTGAAAATAACGGGGCTACTAACTCTAAAGGCGATGGACCTTCATATTTATCAACTGAGGAGACTTCCGGCTCTTGCACATTAGGTAAATAACACTTATATTTTTCTTCGTGGGAAGTGCTTACAACGATATGTTTAAGACTTGGATCTGGTTCAAAAGATTCACCCGGCCAGTTTAAAAGGAAAAGAACCGTATCATCAAAACCTTTCTCATGACTTAAAGTAGGCACAACAAAATAAAAACACAACCAATATTGCAGTTTCATCATTTTCTGTTAATTTATAGGAAAAATTTGTATTTTCACCTCCTTGCAATCAAAATGTTACACGCAATAATGACTTTGACAATCAGCTGATAAAATTGACGTTTCATATATGTCTTATATTATGAATAATATTAAAATAAAGTTAATTTAAATTATAATTAATAACTAATAAATAATATAATTATTATGTTTATATAATTAAAAATAAATGGTTAAAAATTAATAACACATAATAGTAATTTAATGGAGTGAAGGTTGGTAGCATTCGCTGTCAATAATCAATTTTTTGACATGTTATTAATTCTTCGCGCCAAAGCGTTTTTTTAATAAAATTATTAGATTAGAAAAGCTGTTATAAACTAAAATGAAGTGTGTTATCCCCGAAATTTCTTGGCACAACCGCGAACCAGTATTATGTATCGATGTAAATCCTATAAATGTAGAAAATCTTTATAGAATAGCAACAGGTGGTGCGGATTATCATGTTGTGGTAACTATCTTCAAATAACGTTAAAATAAAACAATTATTTTTAAATTATTTAAGGTTTGGACGGGGAAGGTTAATTCGGTAGGGTCCGTTCACGTTCAGGTGGAATGTGATATAACTCGTCACCAAAAATCTGTTAACTCCGTTCGATGGGCACCTGATGGATCTATGTTAGCAAGTGCTGATGATGATGGCATTATTTTTGTTTGGGTACCAAAAATAGATCCGGATGAACCTAAAAAAGTTTCTTATTTAGCTCTGAAGGTTATTTTTATTTTTTTATATAGAATTAAAAACTGACATTTAAGATATATAGGTTATGTTAATTTTTTTAGACGTTAAGAGGCCACAAAGAAGATGTTTATGATATTTGTTGGTCACCGAAAAGCGATAAAATCGTCAGTGGGTCTATTGATAACACTGCAATACTTTGGGATGTCTCAAAAGGAAAATGGGACCACATTTTCGTTGATCACAAAGGATTTGTGCAGGTTTATAAACGCGTTTACTGTTGGATTTGTTTAACATTTTGTTTTGTAGGGTGTTTGCTTTGATCCGAAAGGTCAATATTTTGCTACATTGAGTAGTGATCGTTATTGCCGTATAATCGATGTGTCAACAAAGCAGGTTAAATCAAAAATAATTAAAGGATTACTTCCGGTGCCAGAAACAAATCCTTTATACAATAAAGAAGTTAAATATTTTCACGATGACACATTTAAGAGCTTTTTTCGACGATTTGGTTTTAGTCCTGATGGAAATTTATTTATTACACCGTCTGGGTTTGTTGAAGCTGAAGAAAATAGGTTAAACTTTAAATGCGCTTATTTATTTACATTACATAGTCCAGAGTAAGTTAAAGAAGTCAGGTTAAATGTATTAATTAATTCAAATCTGATTTAGACCAGTAGGGGTATTTCGATTTGAGAATTCCTCTACGTTAGCTGCTAAATTTTGTCCTATTCTCTATGAATTAACTGATATAGGTCCAAAGCCGGCTGTAAACCTTCCATATCGCATGATTTTTGCAGTTGCCACCGAAACAGATTTGTTTTTATTCGATACACAGCAACGATTTCCATTCGCGCGATTAAAAAACGTTCATTACACTCGAATTACCGATTTGAGTTGGTCTTCTGATGGACTCCTCTTGGTTGCGTCATCATCTGATGGTTTTTGTACGTTACTTTCGTTTATGGAAGGAGAACTCGGCGATGTTTATCAAAAAGAAGAGGAAGTTATTGAAGAAGAAAAAGAAAATGAGGTTTTAAATGTAACCGCACTTGACGAATTAGAACCAATGGAAGTAGATGAAGTAAAAAAAGCTGAAAGCGAAGAAAAAAAATCGACGTTTTTAGTGCAGTGGGCTAATAAAGCCACTAATACTAATAAATCGGAAGAAAAGATTAATGTTTTAACCGTTCGGAGGGCGCCGAGGGTAGAAAATGAATCAAAAAAGAATGAGGTGATTGAAATAACAGATTCACCGGTGAAAAACGCAACTAATTCCACTACTTTTGAAGTTATTACACCAAAAAGGGTTAAAACAACTTTAAATATCGTTGAAGATATAAAAAAGACCGAAAATTCAAATAAAATAAATAAAAAAGCTAAAAAAGATCAAGTAAAATCTAGTCCTTTACTAAAATATTTTAAATCTCCCGGCGAAACGCCAAAAACGAAACCGATTTTGGAAGATACTGAAGCTAGAGATGCCTGGAAATGTGACGGTGATAAAAATACTTTGAAAAATGTGCTAGAATCAAAAAAAGAATCCGTCCATGAAGAAATTAGCGAATTTACTGTTCCCGATTTAGATTTAAAGTTAGAAACGTCTATTTCACATTTAACGAGTTTAAATCAAAAAATAAATGCGGAAATAGAAGAGAATAATGAAATAGAAGACGAAAATAACGAAATAGGAGAATTTAATGAAGTTGAAGATGTGAAAATGAGTAAAGTGGATAAAGAAATTAAAGAAATAAGAGAAGAAGTTGCTAAAACAGATAAAGAGATTGAAGAATTAAAAGCGGACATAGCACAAATAGACAAAGAAATATCTAATGCTAGAACACCTCGAAGAATTGCGTTGATCACGATATCCAGTCCGAAAACTTCAAGACATATAAATAAAAAAGTAATAATTAAAAAGGACGGGAATGATGAATAAAAATTATAAGACATAAATTTTTCCACTTAATCGATTAGAATTATTATAAAATTATTGTTTATTTTCAATAAAAAAAAATTAAATTGACGTTTGAGGTTATGTTTTAAAATTATTACAAAAAATTTACTTTTTTACCCTAATTTGTTGAAATTTGATACATTTTAGTCCTATATTATTTTTAAATTCAATAAGTAATTAATAAAAAGGTATAACATATCCTAAACATTGACATTAATATTAATTTTTATTATAATTTCTATACAATAAGAGTTTCCAACCTTAAAAAAAAATGGTTTTTAATTATTCATTCTTAATCTCCTCCGATTATAACTTCCTTGATTCCCGTAATTGCCATGTCTATTTTCGTGATGATCATATCTGTGACCTCTTCGATGATCTTTCCGATCATATTGACGCCTTGCAACTGGCGAATACTCCCCATAAGAATGCTTGCTACTATTACTAACAAGGAATTGACCAGTTAAAACCATCTCCTGTAAGTTCCTTTGAGGTGTTTTCACTTGGGAAGGTACCGTTGGGTGATTTTGTTGTTGAGAGTTTTGGGGTGTTCTCGGTTTTAAATTTAATCTTCGATCGAAAAGTGCGGTCCCGTTTAATAGCCTTATTGCGTAGGGAACGGATTGGACATGTCTGCAAGTTACAAATCCATAACTTCCTGGTCTACCATCTCTATCAACAGGGATTTTCACTTTTTCTAATGGGGCTACTTGAAGGAATAACTCGTAGAGAAGCTCTTCGGTAACACGGGTGGAAAGGTTTCCGCAGAAAATCGTTCTTTGGTCTTCGTTTTCCATAATTTATAAGCGATTTTTAGTTGAAGTTTATTTTGACATTTGACGTTTAATAAGAGCTTGATTTTAGAGGACATCGCATTCTTTCGATTAACTTACGGACTTTAATAAGAGATGGCGGTAAAAATTTAAATTACAAATAATTATAAGATAAGTTTAGAAAAGTAATTGGAAAATAGCAATGTTAATATAATAATTGTATTGATAATTTAATATAATTTAATTTATTAAAAAATGACGGTTAAATTGTTTTTTTTTTTATAAATTTAGACAGAAAAAAAGATTATTTTTATTTATTTATGTAAGGTTGGTAATGACATCTCAACAAATAATAGTTGTCAAATTTGACATATTTCTTCTTAAATTTATGTATTATTTTCGGTTGATTTTTTTGAATTTAGTGAATATAGTTAAGTGTATTAGAAAAAAACATTGGAGATTTATCCTATGTGACGGAGCATAAAGCCATTTCACCCGGTTTGATCCTTAGGGATGTAATCCCACGTGACTCAATGTGAATTGAACAGGTGGTGTTGACGGTGTTCAGAGCCCTCTAGCTTCCTGATCACCGCATCCTGGTCCGTAATGATGTAATTTGTAATAGATTAATAAAAGAGGGAGAGTAGGTGGATCACCTGGATGAGTTCCCAGCGTCGTCGGCATCGTCTCGGTCCAGAAAGGCACGACGGGACTTCGACGTCCTCTTTCCTCACCACCTGAAGCGATTTTTGTGATTTTTGTCGTTTTTACATCAGATTCAATTACGGAAGAGACTACGCCTGAGGGTTTAGACCTGTTTTCGTATGGTGTATCGGTAGGTAATTGGAATTTCTGAGTCGATGAACTAGGGCAAAATATAAAAATCAATTAAGTACATATGTGACCTAAAATAAAACGTTTGATGAATAAATATTGAGACTGTGCAAAAGATAGATATAGAGAAGATTTGGTGTTGTCGCTTGGGGCCTTCGGGAGGGGTGAGCACTTAAATTTAAATAATGACGTTTCCGCATCGTCGTGAAAAGTGGGAAAGCGTCGCGGCGCCTAATGGAACGGCGTCGTCGACGAGTGTCGCCTGAGCGGAGCACTCAGATTCCGGTCGTATTGTCTGTGATTTCCATTCACTCGGGGATGTTCTGCTATTTCAGGTAGCGAACCCCCTTTTTCGCAATAATATGACAAATTAAGTGTCATCTTTAACGAATATGTTTATCATCATTTCAAATTACTTAATTACACCTCAATTGTGTAATTAAGCAAATTGTAATAAAACATTGAAATTAAATAAACACTTGGGGATGTTTGGGGATGAGGAGATAGATAGAAGAGAGTATATGGGGCGTGGTCGTTTGAAATAGTGTTTACAGGACGTTCGCGGCTTGGATCGTCGACGGGTCACCATCTGCCCTAATCCGCGGTACGTGTCTTTCGGACTGCCCTGCGGCCCATCGTTGTCAACAGACCTCGTTCCATCGCCACCATGTCACAACCGTGTCATTCCTCGTCCTATCCGATTTGCCACTCTGGCCATCAAATCAAACCCAACCCCCCGACACCCCTTCTAAAACGAGAACTCCACTCTCCAATTCCAAATGGAATTGCAATGTTTTCAATAAAATTGATTCGATAATTTTAAATTATTTTATAAAATAACATTTTTTTGTGGTAGCTACACTTGAAAGGGTTAAAATCTGAATTGGAGTGAAAAGAATAGAAAAAGACGTTGTGTAGGTAAACATCCGGAAGCCACCCTTTTCGAAGTTCGGTCACGTTCGGCGTCGTTGCCGATCACGACGTCGGTCAACTAATCCATCCTTTTTAAGTTGTAATTGTTCGCACGTGATCCTATTTTACAACCCTCCCCTCTGTGATTTACATAAACACTTATCAAGACACGCGATATAATTCAATAAGAATTATTGCCTTGATTATGATTTTATTTTTAAAAAAACAAATCGATAGTTTGAGTATGAGAAATTTAATTTAACAATGCAGAGTCAAATTTAAAATAACTACAAGAATAAAAGGCGGAATTCAAAATCTTCAGATTTTAATTGACATTGACAGTTTATCTAGGTAGCTAGGTTGGATTGGGCCAAGGTTTATAAACTGACCGGCAAAAAAAACCGGCCACTTAAATTTTGCCACAATTTCTCGCGAACCACTCATTCGATTTTGATGATTCCTTTTTTGATCGAAAGGTTGATTCTTCTGTAATAATCCTGCGATAGAAATTTTTATTCCGATATTAATTTGAGCATATACGGGGTGTAAGAATGAAAAAAGCATTTTTTCTCGAAATTTTTAATACCCTGTGGGGTGCAGATGCTACAGCAGAGGGTGTTAACTGGAATCAAATGGTAGCCCAATCTTTTCTGAACATTTTGTTTTTTTATTCACTCTATTATCTCTGTTACTAACGAAGATGCAGTGTTTTAAAGCGAACGCCTGTGAAAACAAGACAAATAAGCATACAAAATAAGGTGGCGCGCTAGGTAGCGTATGTCAGTTGTTTCGAATAGTAAATTGACAGTTGTCAATAACTGATGTTGCGGGTATTATTAGTTTAATTGAAGATGGCAAAAGTCAGCGGTACGTTGCCCATACGTTGGGTATACCCCGAACAACAGTTCAGGATGCCTGGAACCGATATGTCGAAACAGGAAATTTTACTAGGCGGCAAGGTTCCGGTAGAAGACGAGTGACAACAGCAGTTGATGATCGATTTATTGTGCTAAACACTCTGAGGAATCGTAGAACGACTGCTGTAGAAAGTCGGCATCGCCTTCAAATGGTGCGTGGGGTTGACGTAAGTGAAAGAACCATTCGTCGAAAACTTGCTGAAAGTGATCTAACTGCAAGAAGACCTGCCAAAAGACAGCGGCTGCTCCAGAGACATCGGCGAGCACGTCTTCAATTTGGGCGCCTACATACTAATTGGGAAATGGAACAATGGGGTAAGGTGCTCTTCACTGACGAGTCCCGATTTTGTCTCCGGTCACCTGATGGTCGAGAA